CACTTCCACCACTGTACCCACCCTGGTCCGAGGGTAGAGAAAGACACCCGTACTCCCCACATTAATAACCATAATATGGGTGACCCCTCTCTCCACCCGCACCAAGGCTGGTGAGGAAAGTAGGCCAGCAGGGAGGCCAAACACTGGTTGTTCGAACAGTACACTCTTACCTGAAAACCGATCGGCACAGGTAGTAGCCACCACTTTCATTGTGCCAGCCGGAATTTGGCACGCCTGACGACCGCCGACCTTGATGGTACCAGGCACTCCCCCAGCAACCCTCCTACTGGCTTGGTGGCACTTCTGCAGCGCTAACCTCACTAGCTCTGGGGCTTGTGACAATGGTGACTGTTCAAATAGGGTCCGCCCGTGTTCCCCAAACAGATCCCTGTAACACCTGCTAATCACATTCATCCCCAGAACACCCGGACGCGACAAGAGTCCACCTTCAGGGGTGTCTTTGACCACCAGGACACCACACTGAGTCAACACTTTACCACAAAGTTCAACCTCAAGTTCTAAATAACCAATGTATGGGATGGCCAACCCGTTGGCAGCCTTAAGCCGCAACCAGTGGCAAGATTGCAGTTTGTCTGCACCCCAGGGTTCGAAGTGCTGGTAAAAAAAACTTTCCGAAATAGTTGACACCATTGACCCCGTGTCCAACAAGCACGGAACCTGCACTCCCCCCATTGTTACATCCACGTACGGACAAGACGACATCAATTTCGCCACTTCCACGGCAGTAGACTCTCCATCTGAGCCAGGCTTGGCACCCCCCGAACTTTGGCTCCACAGCTCGGCGGGTGTTAGTTTTCCGACGGTGCCACCCGTCCACCCTGCCTCCCAGACTGCTGAGAGTGTGCCGCGGACTGAGAAGGAACCCGGACCCCATCACAGTCTTTAGCGAAATGGCCTGGCTGTCGACAACGTCTGCAAATTAGGGGACTACGACCAGCAGGATTACTCCACCTCGGACCTTGGAGCGCTAAGAGACCCTCCGTAAGTTTATTTAACTGTTCCTGCTGTAGCTTCAACATTTCCCTCATTTCAGTCAACTCCGACCGCATGGGGGAGGCTGCTGTGGTCTGGGGACATTGGACCCCATACTGCAACCCAAAAACTGAAGGGACAGAATAACTTCGGCCTCTAGCTCCTCCCGAGGAACCCTCCTGTTCCCACCTAATGGCTTCGGCTCTAACCTCCAACAGGGTAGCTGTTAAATTGCGACGCACAAACTGTTTCAACTCACGGCGCAAGGCACCGTCACTTACGTGCTCTACAAACTGGTCGCGAAGCAACTCTTCAGCATTGGGCATGTCAGTGGGGGCTTGCTGTTTAACAGCAGCCATTAAACTCATCAGGGCGAGGAAAAACTCTTGCAAGGTTTCCCCCTCCTGCTGGTGCCGAGAAAAGAACGCTTTCTGCAGGGCTACATATGAGTCAAAACAGCCATAAAGCTCCCTTAACGCTGCAATCACCCGGGCAGGATCCTCCCTCTCCCCTCTAGGGCGAAACCTAATTTCTTCCCTGGCTTCTCCCTCAAGATGATCGAACAGGAACAAAGCCTGTTCCAAATCAGTGAGCTGCCGAGACCGCGTGCAAGCCTCCACCTCCTCCAGCCACTCAGCCAAACTAATCCCTGTCCGCCTCCTAAAGGAAGGACATTTTCTTTCTCGGGGGACCACAACCAATCTTTCCCTCTGTAGCACAGAAGTAGAAGGTGAAGCTGCAGAAGAGTGGCCACTAGGACCAGAAATCGCCATTTGCTCTTGTTTTAACCTCTCGTTTTCTGCTCTCAGTTGTAGAATTACATTCTTCAACTCCCGCAGCTCTTCCTCCTCCATGATAACCTCTTACCTTGCCCACTAAAAAAAAAATAAAAATAAAAAAACAAACTCCTATGCCGTTTTTCAGGAAAGCACCGCTGTTTCGTTTCGCAACCTGTAAATGAAGAGCAAAATTAATACGGATACAAAAAAAAAACAGAGAAAAAAAAATTCTGAAAAACACACGTCTATCTCTCGTGAATCCTGCCAACAACGCCAAATGTGGAGACGGCGCAGCACACACCTACCGATCCTCTCACCGATGACACCTGAGTAGAAGGGAACTCCCTGCCCAGCAGCAACGGGGATTCAATCTTTCCCTGGTTTTACAAAGAGCTGATGTTAAGATTGTTTGACTCATAGGTTATCTACCTGCAGAAGGTACGTACCGTTTGCTAATGTTTTGTATAGCAAAGGCAAGCGATGATGTCACTCCCAACACTGATTAATTGCCCAAGCTGCCGAGTGCACAACACAGTTTGAGACACAGTAACTCTACTGCTAAACAGAGTAGCCATCCAGGTACATACCACAGTTGGAGCAGAGCCGATCACCCCAAAAACGCAGCCAAATGACACGGGTTGGTAACACGTAGTGGTATACTTAAAACCAGCCGTTTCCTGAAATTACTTCCTTACCGGAGGAGCTCCCCTTTAATAGCCGGAGCGCCCTCCTACGTATGGAGGGCGTACTGTTCTAAACCAATAAACTTGGAGCAGGTATTTCGTACTGCTACACTAGTTTAAAGGTTAGCTGTTATGATTTGCACAGCCAATCAGAAGCTGACAAGTTTGGAGATGTTTTACCAAGGCAACTCAGAAACACACCCTCTTTGATATTGGAAAGCCTGACTGGTATAAAAAAAAAAAAAAAAAAAAGCTATGTGTTGTAGTCTTAACTTAACCGCGCTTGTTATTGTGTGGGTGCAGGTGTGAGGACCTTGTCGTCAAAACATGTTGAACGTGGCAGGTTCTAGTAGACACACATAATATAACATCCATTCAGTGTGCACAGATTAATGAAGCATTTCATTATACTATAATTATAAGTAGTAATAAACAAATGTTTATTTAATGATTATCTAGATTATAAGTCATAGAAGAAGTTCATATTGATTTAGGAAATCATTCTTGAATTTAGCAGCTGATTCTAGCTGGAGCTGGAGTCTTCTGTAGGCAGACAGATGGGACCTTGGGAAAGAAAGTTATTGTTTATCTTTCAGACTTGCAGAGTCTGTGAATCCCAGCTGGTGTGAAGGCAGACTCATTTAAAAGGAGCACATGCGATGTGTCTCCTTTCTGACCAGATGTTGAATAGATGGTGGAAGGCCAGGCTGTACCTACACTGACCATGGCTAGACGCTACACATTAAAAGTTTGTAGGAAAGGTAAAAGAACAGAAATGTAAATTTTTTATTTTACTTTTTGTTTTTGTCCAAATAAACTTCTACAAGAGATACTTGGTAGAAGAAGTTGTACACTTTTGTTCTTTTTAGCCATTTAGAAACATAATTTTGTACTCCCAGCAGCCTCTGGGGATCGTAGTCTGAGCACAAGTTACTTTCACACACAGATTTTTTAATGAAGCTTAAAAAAATCTTAATCTTTTAATCTTTTTAGGAACATTGATTTTATGGAGGTGAAGGAACTGGATTAGTTAAGACTTTCTAGAAACACTTCATCTAAATTCATCCAAACATGTTTTCCTGCCTCACTCATCATTGTGATCTGTACTCACTCGTTATCTGACAATCACTCCATTCCTGCAGGACTTTACATTGGTATCAGCAAACAAAACAATCGTTAGAACAGTCATTTCTTTCATTACGCATCACTTCCAACAACCAGCTCTATTTGTGATCCAGTCACGTAATCTCTTTTACTATTCCCAAAGCTTGCAGCTCCTGTGGCCGCTCCTCATTCCAGTTTGCTGCTTCCAATGACAGAGCTGCAAAAATCACTGAAGCTCACTACCAACATTCATTCATCTACCTTAAAAAAATCATTGCAATCAACAGTTTAGCAATGCTGCCATATACAAAATATTATCATTCATGTCAGCATTGAAATGAGCCAGCAGAGGGAGCCCAACACCAAAGTTTATGTGGCATTTATCTAGTAACTAGATTCTAGTTAAAGGGGCATTATGGAAGTTTGACAGCCAAAACATGTGTAGAAATAATAAATGTCTTCTTCAGACATTCTCCTGCAATGCCCTGGTCCTGTAGAATGAGCCCTGGCATTTTTACTGTGATTGCCTGTTTTTCTGTAAAATCACAGAAAAAGAGAGATGCTCGGGTCGAGCAGGCTGCTTCATGCACGTTCACGCTCAGGCATAGCCCGTAGCATTTGCTATCCGTAGCTTTAGCAGCAGAGAGAGAGGCAGTGCCACTTTGTCGCTGTTCCTAACGCCTAGTGACAAAGCTAGCTACATTTCTGAGGACCCTTAGCTACTTTCTGTAGAACTTTCTTCCTAGATATTTCCTGCAAATTAGCAACATAATAGCCATTTTCACTCCGAACCGTTCTTTGAACGTTGTTTCAGCTGTCATCAACGTTTAAGTTACAGATAAACATCACTGGTGCTTTAGCTCACCTAGTAAGATGCTGGACTCTTGGGCAGGGGAAACGGGTTCAATTCTGGATGTAAACATAATTTGAGAGTTTATTTTTTACATTAATGGTATATTATTTTACAGTAAGATGCCCAAATTTTTGAGACTTGCCGAACGGCATTGAATTCACAGATAAAAAAAAGATGTGGGTTCAACTTTTTGGAACAATTTTTCAAGCAAGGGAAGCTCTGTGAAGCTGACGGACTAACCCATTTTAAATCTTTGTCGGCTGTGCTGAAGAGAAAGGTACAGAACCAAATTGAATTAGCTGCAACTTCTCCTGTCCTCCGGGCCACACACTGAACTGTCTCAGCTGTTATTTTCGTTAAGGAGTGTGCACGTACAGTATGCGTGCACGAGCCTACTATTGAAGCTGTCGTTACGCTTTTGGCCTGAGGGGGCAATCGCAAGCATAAAAATTCAAAACTCCGTTAAGTCCCTTTAAGATGGTGGTTGTTCCAGATTGAGTAGTTTTCCCCTCCATGTCTTGGATGCTAAAGTTAAGATTTTGGTCATTAAAACTAATTCTACCTACAACAGCAGACACAAGACAAATGTAACAGCAACCAAAAAGTTTACACTTTATTTGATTTAGTACAACAGTTTAAGCCAACTAGCCAGATGGTCTTTTCAGATGCCAGATGTGTATTGCTCTTTTGCATCCTGTGGGTGAACATTTGATCAGTGATGTTTAAAACCTCCATTTCAATGTTAAGATACAGCCAAGTCATGTGCTTCTAAAGAATCCTGCATTTCTGTACAAAATCAGAGGAACAGCAGCACAAGACATGACCTGCAATAGCAGAACCTGGTAGCAAAGCTGCTAACACCTCATATTTTAACAGTCAACACCTTGAATGGACCTTGTGCTACGTTTTAATTTACAGTTAAGTGCCGAGAACAGGTGTGGTTCACAGAAATGCTCAGACCGCACTATGGAACAGGTGGTAATAAAAGGCTAATGCATAGAAACATGCTTCCCAAATAGGATAACACCAATTTTGAAAAGAGAGGGCTGAAGTTGCACCGACAAGCTACATAGCAGATGATAGCAGACTCAAGGGGAGGAATGATCCACATTTACAACCAGCGCAAGTACACTCCTAGCAGGAGGTTTGGAAAAATTGACAAAGTGGAATTTTTATTTCAAAAGGTAGGAGGTGAAAAACAATACAGATGAACAAAAAATAAATCAATCTTTGGATACGTAAAAAACCCTATACAACCCCCGTTCCCCTTCCCTTCAGTCTTCCGAGGTTCCTTCTGAGGGATCTTTGGTCTCCTTGTTCTTCCTCACCTCTTCCAACTTCTTGTCCTAATTTAAAGAAAAGCAGGATTACCATCCAACAGCTCATTTCCTCCAGCACACTTCAGCAGAATTCACAAACCTTTTCTTTGAACTTCTCGTTCATAGCTGCCATAAGCGCCGTGCGGTTTTCTTTGTTGGCTTCCATCTTCAGCTGGAGCTTCTCCTCCGCCATCTTGCTGAAGTTGTTGTTCTCCTCCATAGCTTTCTGTAGCACTTCCTTTTCATGCTCCCGCTTCTCAGCTAAGTGCTTCAGAACCTCGGCTTCGTGATTCTGTCAAAGGACGAGTAGAGTTTGCCTATTTAGTACAATCATTTAGGATTAAATCATGACCTATATCTGCAAGTTCAATAGATGTAATGTTTACCTTGCGCCTCTCCTCTGCAGCATCAAGCTTCCTCTGAATTTCCTCCAGAGAGACATCCTTCTTTTTGGGGGGCGACAGGGGGAACTCCCCTTTACTGTCAGGAGCAGGAGCACCCAGGATCACCTCGAAAGCCTGGCCGGAAGCCCGCTTGTCCAGCTCCTTGACCTGGATGTCTGAACACAAACAGCAAAACATAAATAAAAACAAACATGCAGCCACACACTTATTGTTGATAATTTACCTTCAGCAGATGCCATTTTCAGTGAATCCTGCAGGTCAAAATACCTGCAAAGAGAAGCATGACGTCACTTTTATGCCAATTATTAATCCGAGGGGGCAAATATTAAAATTTGAAGCTATGGCGACCTCTAGTGGAGTCTTTTCCAGGGAAGCAGCATTATGAAAACTGTCTCAATAGCGAGATCTAGTGGCATCATCGATCCCTGCAACCACCGCCCATCAATCCACGCTGAGCAGCATCCAGCGCTGCCTTTGTTTATTTTTGAACTTGTACCGGATGTTCAGTTCAATGTGGGACCTACTGACCCGCTCAGACAGGGAGGGGCTTTCTATCTCCACCCTGGATCAAAACCGACCATCAAAATTACATTTAAGATTAAACAATAGGCTGTGTGTGTGTGTGTGTGTGTGTGTGTGTGTGTGTGTGTGTGTGTGTGTGTGTGTGTGTGTGTGTGTGTGTGTGTGTGTGTGTGTGTGTGTGTGTGTGTGTGTGTGTGTGTGTGTGTGTGTCAGGCTGTGCCAGGCGCTGGCAGTCCCCCAGACTGGGCCCACAACAGTCAATGCTCTCCTCTACAATGATTTAAACACAGGGCGCCACCATGGAGCACCTGCTCTTTGGACCGTGTGTTCTGAGGATGGAGGAAACAGATGGAGAAAAAGGAGAAAAACAAGAATCGCGCTTTAATGTAATTTTTAGCACCACATAAAGAAAATGTAGACTCTGCAACAGTTGTCATGCCACTGGGTGACCTGGTTCGGGTGCATTTATGGATTTATCCTTTCACTCCTTCCCCCTCTCTCTGGTATTCCAGAAAGGCTAACAGCTAGCTCAACTGAACTGTTGTTTAGCTAGCTTTAAAAAGCTTTAAAAATGCAACAAAAGCTGCTGAATTACTTTATTTACGCAACAATTAAATCTAAACGCTCACACGAAGCTGTCAACACGTCTGGCATTTCACAGATTAGTTGTTTTGAGCTTCATATGTGACAATTTTTGTAGTTTAAATCCTAGTTTTCTTTAATTAGCTCAGTGTTTAACGAGCAGCTGCAGACAAAGGAGCTCCTGACAGCAACCAGACGCGCAGCTGCAGACAACGGCTTGACTTAAAAGCTGCAGGTTTCTGTTCAAATGATGATAACGGAGCTTTGTGGATTTGAGGTAAAGCGAATGCAAACTGAAGGGTTAGAGTCTTTCATGCTTTTTAAGGATAAATGGTAAAACACGAAAAGCCCGTTCTCGTTTGTTACCGCCTGTGCCAACTGTGCCAGCATCACAATAGACATGCCCACCGAGCCGCCGCCATCACAACCACCCGCGGTGTGTCCTCACAAAGACTCACCAGAGCCAACACCCTGTGGTGTCCATGAAGCCGCCAGGTTTGCTTCCATCAAACAAGACAAAGCCCGTAAACAAACACAAAAGAAAGCCCGTAAACAAATAGCGAGTCTGGAGAAAGCACGAGCTTCACGCGCCTGGTTTTTATCCGTCCCGAGGACACAAACACAAAAGACCCTCCATCAGCTCTGAGCCAGCCGCTGCTGCCTCTGTGGCCGTAGAGGTGCTCTCAGTCACACCCACCTTCCACAAGCTCAGGGCGCGGCGCTCCGTCCACAGTGAAGTCTCCACGAGCTCTCTGCGCGAATGTGGAGAGCTGCGTTTAAATAAACCACAGTGGTGACGTCACGGCGCCGTCCACCAATCACTGTCTGACTTTGGTCTCCCAGCTGCTTCTGGGGATTGTAGTCTTTATAATTCTCTGAGCACGCACACAGACAGACAGACAGACAGACAGACAGACAGACAGACAGACAGACAGACAGACAGACAGACAGATAGATAGATAGATAGATAGATAGATAGATAGATAGATAGAAGACATTAGCAGTGAAATGTCATGGTCTGCGTCTCCCCCATGTGTCCCCTGGTCTGCAGCCCCTCCAGGTTCTCCCTCCCAGGTCCTGTGCTCCCGTTGGTCTCCCGTAGTCACCCCTCTGCAGTTTTTCTATAGGTTCAGCTTTTCATTTAGTTAGTCTCTTTAGTGTGCTTCTTTCCCCCGTAGAACATTATTTATTTATCTTGCTCTTCTGGTCTTTAGGGTTTTGCTCTTAGGTCATGTTAGTTTCCTCTCCCTGATTAGTTAATTGTTTTCACTTGGTTTCTCTCCCCACGCACCTGCAGCCTATCTTCCTCTCATCATGCCCCAGTGTGTATAACCCTGTCTGTGTCTCTATTTGTTGCTGGGTCAGTGTTTGTGTTGCCCTTGTCTTGTTCTCCTCTCTAGATTTTGTATTTTTTGGTTTTCTTACGCTCTTGGATATCTCTAGGTTTTGTTATTAGGATATTTTATATGTTGGTTTTTGGCTCCCTGCCGTTTTGGATTTATTCGTTAATAAAGGATTTTTATGTTATTTCTACCAACCCTGTGTCATCTGGAGTCTCTGCATCTTTGGGTCCTAACCTCCTGCGTGACATGTTCTGTGTCCAAGACAAATGTGACATTCACACAATGTAAAAGCAGCACATTTTGGACTCTTTCTGGCATTTTCCTGACCTACATCTACTCTAATAAACACATGCAAAACGGGAGGACAGATTTAGGCTTCAATCGCTGTTGCTGGGAGTTTTTGATTTGTGAGTATTTTTAGTTAAACTGTCGACAGAAGATGCAGATCAGCTCTGTCACAGAGGTGCTGTGCTAAAAGTGGCTGAAGGCAGCAGAGGGTCTACAGTTAGATCTATTTTTATTGCTGTCTTAAGTAGGTGTCATTTCGGCTTGATGCTTGACTCAGAGATAAGTATTAGTAGAGACTCAGAGATATGGTTGCCTGGACGCACATCTCCCTCCTCCAGGTGACAGACCAGTCACGTGGCCAAAGGCTCTCCCGTTGAATCTTGGGTCCTGTACACACGTAGCCGGGTATCCAACAAAACCAACATATTTGTCTATGAAAGTGATTATGAATGGCACCAAAAACAATTCATTAAAAAACTGTTTGCAAATTCTCCATTGTCAGCATTTGCCCGTGGATGTAAATAACCAGGATTTCACATCAACGTCACTGCCCGCAGCAAAATAGCTCTTATGTCAAATGTCTGACTTGCGTGACGGCCATTCCCCGATAATTCTAGCCTGTGAGATACCAGCTCAACGGTTCTCTCTGAATATCAAGATTACAACAAGCTTAGCTTGAGTATTTTCACTCTTTCTCCATGTTTTTTCACATAGTGAGACATTTTAAAGAGTAAGGACGGGTGGAGGTATCAGACATCTATGATAAAAGAACGGACCAGTGGTTTCATAAGTGGAAATCCTGAGGAGGGAGTTATTAATCACAATGTATTTCCTACTGGGCTGCCGCTGGGTCGCAACAGCAGCAGAAGTTGATCTCCAGGAAGCTTTTCTTCTCAGACTGAAGAGCAGTCAGCCACATTAGTCCATTTGGCTGCATGCAGCTGAAAAGTTTGACCCATTTCCTTTCAGTCAACAGAAACAAGTTCTCTCTGCTGCTGCTCCAAACCACAGAGGAGATGGGATTCAGTCGTCAGCTGGAGGTGGAGGAGAGAGGGAAAATGTAGGAAGCCTAATAAGACACACATCCCATTTGAGGCTGTACAGACTTGTGACAAACGTCGAAACCCAGAACACAACCATCTTTTGTGTAAATAATGCATAGAAAACGATGTGTGATGTCCAGCGTTACCAACGTTCCAGTCGTGTGTTTAATTGTACTGGTAACTTTTATGTAACTGTGGGTTGCATAATCACCAACTCAGCTACTCCCCTCTCTGGAAGGCTGCAGGCTGTGGGTTTAGCATCCCCCCCTCCCCCCCCCCTCCCTGCACGTCTGTGCTGTGTACGGGTTTGCATGCATGTCTGAGGAACGGCTGCACACACACAGAACGTGCCGTAGAATCCATTTTAGCACGATTTCACGATATGATAGAGGGACATGGAAGAGTCGTTATGCTTCTCATCACTATTCCACATTTATTCAGTTTTCAGGAATTATACAGAATAGATGAATTTTAAAAATACTGTAGCTCTAACAGAAAACCACAAAAAGAAGGAAGAGAGGAACATGTCATACTGTTAGCTGATATAGTTGGCAGGATGTTGATCAGGAAGTAAGGAGGATGTTAAGCCCAAGTACACAAAGACAGTGATAGGGACACGAACCTGCAACTCTCCGGTTACGGGGTCTGCTATTAACTCATTCACTGCCAATGACGACAAAAATCATCATTTGCATTTTTTTTTTTTTTACTGTGTGGGCATCGGAACGAGCCCCCGCACCGTGAGAACAAACATCTCAGCTCTAAAGCCGATCTTCATCTGCGTATGTCACACGTCACGTGATCAGGAAGGAGAACATCCATGTGTTAGGAGATCGTTGTGGGCCCTTGCTGTAAAAAAAGTGAGGCGCGAACCGGAAAAGCTTCTGCCGATCACATTTCAACAACGGATTATGAAAGAACGGATAACGCTCGAAACACGCGGATTCTTCCTGATGTAAGAGGTGAGTGTCTGCTTTGTTTTGGTTGTTTTGGTGTTGACATCATCATAGAGCACAACGTTCTGTGACTCTTAAAAAACAGTAAAAACGGTGAGAAACGCTGGCAGCGAATGAGTTAATCCACTTACCATCGTCACCACTTGTAGAGATGCATCGCTGTTAACCAATCAGAGAAGGGATGTAAGACCAGGGGCGTGTCCAGGGAGTGGCCTGGGGTAGCACATGCCACTCTCGGAATCTGATTGGCCACCCCAGGTGCCACCACACTAATTTACCTTTAAACAGGCTTTTCATTGTCCACAAAAGGCTTGGGGGTAAAACAAAAAAAGCATAACCATTGGTGCCACCCATGCACAAAGTTGTGCCTCGCCTGGGCCACCCCATTTTAAAAGATCTGGACACGCCACTGTGTAAGACTCCACAATCTGCCGTCTTTATAGTTGTCTTCTGCTGTGGCTCACTTCTAGTTCATAAAACAGGAGCGCCAGAGCTTTTTTTCCCCACAGAGGTTGACTCATAGGACAGTAATTTAAACTAGAGACCACTGCAACTGTATAGAAAAAAACTAGTGAGTTTGGTCTTCAGGTTTTCCTGGTTAGCATTCAAAACCACTGAGAGGTAACACAGATCACATTGTGTCAGAACCCAAGCCCCCAGACCGGCCTCTCCCAGCTAACCGGCCTCCATCTTGGACCACATCTCCCAACATGCTCCTCGCGGGAACTCCCGGCATTCTCCCAGTCACACCCAAGCCTACATATGGAAGACGCCGCACCGGCTCTTCACTCAGTCATCGTTTCAATGAAACCCCTGATCAGAGTTCTCTACCGAATAATCCAGACATCAAACATCCTTACCAAGCTCAACTCCCGTACCCAGTCGACCATCGTGACACATTGTCACAACTAAATATTGTGCTGTACATGTCACTTATATATGTTGCGTTATCTGAATTCACAATCAACAAAAACTTATGAAAAAAAAATACAAATCTTAGTGTTCTGGAGCTGTTTTATTTTGAAAATGTGTCATTCAGAAAGGAACTGACACTTGGACTTGCTATCGGTGGATTTCTTAGACGATTTCCTCAGATTGGTCTTCAGAAATGCATGAACTACTGTTGCATTTTTTAAAAGCTGCTCTGTTGTTACAACTGTTGTTACAACTGTTGTTACAACTGTTACAACTGAAAAATGTTGTTACTACTGAAACGTTGTTACAACTGTTGTTACAACTGAAACGTTGTTACTACTGAAAAATGTTGTTACTACTGTTGTTACAACTGAAACGTTGTAACTATTGAAATTTTAAAAATTGAATGCCAGCGTTTCCTTTTTTCACCCTTACCTCACATTAGAGCATTTTTTTGTGCTCTAATGACTTTAACGTTAGAAAATTTAAACGTTGGGTAAGGGTTAACAAAAACATAATGAATGAAGTGACAGTAAAGGTCGGGTTCTGTTTTTCCAGTGTTTACATTGGTTATTTAGCAATCCAGATCAGTTCAGGCACACAAGACTTTCTCTTAATAGCATGAGCACCAGTTGCAGATGAAGAAAATATCTGAGACTAAATCTGCCAATCAGATTATCAGTTTGGTGTGTGTGCAAGAGCGCAGCCTCTGCAAGGTTGCCAGATCGGTGGTTGTTGAGCTGCTGAGGCGCCACGTCGTAGAGAAGACCGGAGTAGTGGAATTGTTTGGATCTGGCTGTGAGTGGGCAGAAGTCACATTCAAGTCTGCAGATTTCTTATCTTTGATGATTTCTTAATAAGTATTGAATCGAACCTGATGTGTTTGAGGTGGTACTTTGATGTTCTCTCATAATCACGCTAGCGATAAATATTTGATGTCATTGTTGTCCTGCTGGCCCTGTGCAGCATATGTTTAAATAATAACCCCACCCATTTGGGGGGGCTTGCTTTCAGTTCTTTTAAAGAAGGTTCAGCCCCAAAGGGCCATGCTAGCCTACAGGGGCGGGGAGAAAGGGTGTGTCGACGACAATGATGATGATGATGACAATGATTATGGGTTAAAAGTTAGAAGGATAAAAAATGAGGAGAGGGATGCAGTACAAATATGGATCAATATCTGAATGCTAAACCATGCCAACACAGGGGTACTGGGGTACTTGCTGCTGAGTAAGGGCTTGTTATCATCACAGGACTCCTGAAGGGCTGTGATGTCAGCCTCAGGACAGAGAGATGAGCCAAGGCACACAAAGGGATGAAAGGTAGTTGGAGGAGGAGATGGGAGTCCCAGAGGGACTCAAAGCCTTGCAACCATGATCTGTAAAGGACTGTTGAAAGTAGCAGGCAACACACTGGATGGTCGTGGAGATAAACGCATCCCTGTCATGACAAATGTGTAACTGGTCTATCCGTTACCAGAACTGTGTGCTTGAGCCATGGAAATTCTCCATGTTTTAGGTTTGCTGCGCTGTGATAATCATAATCCCCAATCTGGGAGATTACTGTTATCCTGATATCATCATGCCAACAGCCAGTCAAACAAGCCAGATGTCTGCATGCAAAAGCCGAGCTCAAATCGCTTCTGTGTCACGCCCAGGCCTCTCAGACAGGACAAGTAGCCTTTTCCCCGTTAGTGTGAGATTAAATAAGTCCTGCAGCTGCAAAAGCAATACTGGAAAGTACGTGAAAGGCTCATGGAAACGTTACATTTTTAAATTTGAGTCAGAAAAAGAAAATTTTTTCATGATCGCAATTTCAAGAACCTAAAGGCCTTTTCTGTTACTTTACGGTTTGTTTAAATTATTTTCTTTTTTCATTTTGTTAGTAGATTCAATTGGGTTCAGAAAACTGGGGGGAGGCGGTTTCCTTTGTCACTTTCTTTGTTTCTCTCAATGATTCCGTCTGATGCTGCTCTCCCACGATGTTAAAGGTCTGGTGCACCCAGAAACTGTTATAATTGTGCTTTCTGAAATATGATCCGTTTCCCTGAGCAGCACCCTGCGTGCAGAACGTGAATCTTCTTTTCAACCATTGCCTGCATTAGCCATAGAAAGGAAATATGATCTGAAAGACCAGTCTCTCCTATGTCACGGGGAAGATGTGCATTCGTGACCTACTCCATCAGATCCGCGAGGGAGAGACAGACGCATTGACAGACATTTCAGACTTTTGCATCAGCTGGGGGTTGTTGCAAAACAATTCCCCGCCTGGACAACAACAGGCGTCACACTATTTTGCGGTATCCTGCCTCATTACAGTCACGTATCTGCTCCACTGTGGTGTATTTACTACTGTATTTACATTACTGTAATGTATTTTAGAGACTTTTTAACACGGACACATTTTTCCCTAATTTGCACCTCTGAACTGACATGATGTCTTTTCCGTCCACAAAAACATGCTTGCTGCATATCTTTGCTCTCCTTCAGTTACGGGTGAATGAATATTTTCAGACTTTGTGATGCGTTCTTCAATCTGTTCCGTGTCTGCCGCTAAATATCTCTTGACTTGAAGCAGCAAAGACGGAGCTGTTGACGAATTTACAGGAAGCAGCGTCCTGAATAATCACGAATTTGCAATCTGCGTCTCTTTCGGTGGATAGATAAAAACGGAGGCGTGTCTCGGTCTTCCTTTGCGAACCAGTCAGAGGGCTCTTGCCTCGGCGTATAATGGCATTGAATGTCTCTGTCCCGACGCAGATGGAAAGTATAAATTAGGCTTAATCCATTGCGGCTTTTGACCCCAAAAGGTCGTGTTGATTTGGCATCGAGAGAGCAAAGTGTGCAGTAGAACATTCAGGTTTGTTTTCTGTGAGGATGAAATGTCAAAGTTGCATTTTTTATCGAAAAAAATAAATTGAGTGAATGAAGGCAACAGAAGAGTTGTATTGCTGTTAGCCAATCAGAGGTGAGATGTTTGCATATCATGAATATTAATGAGCAAGACTCTACATCTTTCTGTTTTCTGTCCCCACCTCTCCGACAAACGTTTAACCCCTGAAACTGGAGCGCAATGCTTTTTTATTTCAAAGAAAACAACTCAAACAGCATTCATTCATACCACAAAACAAACAAAACAAAAACAAAAAATGAGTAAATGAGAGTTTTAATGCCAAGAAAACCACAAGCAGATAGACTTTTTGCTACATTTCAAAGTCCTTAAGAATAACACATTATCACCCTTAGTATTTTATTCCTATTCTCGTGAGTGTTCCTGGTGATAATCCAGGTAAAATATCCTCTCTTTTCACCATCTTTATCCTTTCTTTCAATATGTAAACAGTGTTTCGCTCACATTTCCTCCCACTATGATTAATAGTTCCCTTTGTCTTGTTTAGGTTGGAGTGTTTTGGCACCATGCTATTGAACGGGTCCTCAGTTTCCTGTACTCGACCTCCTGTTCACTCCCGTGTGGATGTTTCAAAAGATGACAAGCCTCTTAATCCCACCAGAATGCAAATGACTGTAAATCATTAAATTATTGCATAATTTAGATCTAAAATGCCTTTTAATCATCTCCAGGAGGATTTTTGTAAAAACGTGGTTTTTTTGTATTATTTGTGTGAAGAAGAAAGGGAACATATCACTGTCTGTAAAGATTATTTGCTGACTGTTGCCTGACAATAAACTCAGTGATCTACAGAGGTAGTGCTCCATTGGTGACTGCTCTTTCAGATAACCAATAGAAAAGGCTCTTTCACTGAGGAAGAGACCAGAAAAGAGGTGGAGGGATGGAGGGGCAGGGGACTGTAGCTCCAGAAAGGTCAAACACGCCAGACGGGAGCGATAGCCTGTAACGTTGCTGCAGAGGGACGGTCTCCGTGAGAATGGGGTCAGCCTCATCATCGTTTCGTCTTGTTGGGACAGAGATCTGCCAAGCTGAGATGTGTGACAGGGAGCACATGGGGGGTGAGGAGTGTGTGTGTCTGTAATGAAAAGCTTACTCTGCCTGTCTCCGCCCCGCCACTACTCAGTGATGTCATACGTTTGCTCGTATTCACAGCCTTGTGATCCAGCCCTGGACAAAGAATGAAGTCGCTGCCAAGATCCAGAGCAGGAAGCAGCAAAGCAGGGAGGCAGGATTGGAAAATAAATCATGTAAACGGACCTTGTTTTACGGCGTTAGTTTGAATCCACACATTTTTTAATGCTTCTTTATCTTCAGCTCTCCAAGAACAGAGAATCCTGCTGTGGTCATTGCTGCTTCACTTGACAGATGTCTGACTGAAGATCACCAGCCTGCTCACACAGGAGAGAAAATCCTCCTCACACACCGTCAGTCTGCTCATGTGTCACCGGCCACAGGCTCAGAGCTGACTCCACCAAAAGCACCAAACTCAAGTAAAGCATCTGTACCTCCATCTTCAGTCTGCAGCTCCAAGAGCAGTAACTTCATCAGCCTTTTACCTGCTAATACTTCCTCTGTGTCCTCTGACCTGCAATGGTCCTCTAGAGGAGCCTTCATTTGTGTTATCGGGATAGCTGTGTGTGTTTCCTGCAGATTCAACCTGAGGGTGCTCGGGCTAACTGGAGATGGGAGTTCAGTGAAGAAAATGATGTGTATGTTCATTTGTGTTCATCTGGAGGAAGCCAGAGGTTTTTGTCAGTGGCCACCACCTAGAGGAGGAAACGTGTGTTGCACATTTAAGCCCCTCCCCCTGCTTCTGGAAGCCAGCTCTGCATCAGCTGGACGTCGTGTTGAACGCAGAGACAAGACAAACTAGGACGTGGTTCAACTAGAGTTTAAAGTCTGAAAATCACATATCATAGTTGTCAGCTGTCGACTTATTTTTCCTCCAAATGAAAGAAAAGTTACGCTTTAATAAATAACATGTGGAGGTCAGCTTTTTCCAACATGTTTGTTTTTCTCTGCATCTTTTTCTCGCGATGGTCCTCACATGTCCTAAAGTGCACGTTGGCTTCCACGTGGAGGCGTCTGTGTTTGCTGCCCGTGACCTGAGTCTGCATGGCCTCAGTGCCAGTCTCATCCTCCGCCTCTTTTCTCTCCTCTCATGGAGTTTCTCTGTTTGTCCCTCTAACAGCATGTCTCTTCCACCCTCCTCCGGGTCGACAGGATGGATGGAGACACGGAGTAGCTCAAAGGCTCCTTCTGCCGTTCGTTCTCTTAGCTTCGACTGACAACACAGGGTTTGACTCTAAGCTGTCTGAGAGTAACCACAAAGTATTTCCTCGAGGAAAGCCAGCTCTGCTAACATGCCCTGCTGTTCAACTATGTGAAAGATGGAGAGCTTTCCTCTCCTCCTTGCTGCTGCATTACTGAAAACACTACATCTATTTATTCCACATTTGTTAAAGTGTTAATATTCACCAAGGTTTTAGGTCAGCTGCGACTATTCTTAGACATTTCTTGTCTGATCCTCACGGGCATCTTGTCCTTTAAGGGTGATAAGTGACGGGGTTGTTCGGTTTCTTCTTTAACAGACAGACCTTAATGCAGACACGTTCTGTCATCATTTCGCAGTCTAACGCCTCAACTCACCCCCCTCCTCTCTTTCCACAGGGAAGGCGTGACTGCATGTAACGAAACAAGGTTCAAGCTTCTCAAGGCCTGGTTACCCTGGCAACAGATTACGTAGCAGCAGTCTGGGTGCAGGGACCTGCCCCAGAGCTGAGGAGGAAGGACGGTTGTGGAGACAAAAGAACATTTATTATTTTATTTTACTACGCTTGAGTGATCTACAAACGCCACGCTATCTGCAGTGGAGCTGTTGCATATGTTGTTACTGTCACATTATCAATAGACTTCAGCATCAGTGACACGCAGCGTGCTGCCTGGAATCATTGTCCCTCATTGTGTCTGCAGAGAGGTGGAGAGCCCTTGGGTGGCTCTCCACCTCCTGTCAGTAGGAGAGCTGGGACACATCCAGACAGCCAGTCTGCATCAACCCATTATGGTCCGTGTGCAAGCAGGACACACACACACACACACACACACACACACACACACACACACACACACACACACACACACACACACACACACACACACACACACACACACAGGTTAAGAGCAGAATTCACTGATGTGAACGTCTGAATTAGCAGTGCTGCTATACGAGTGTTTACGCTCCTCATTGGTTCAAGAAATTGCAAAAGATCTGCAGGCGTGTTGAACGTTTAAATTGGATGTTTTGCATGTTTCCAGAATGCATGAAAGCACGACCAAATTTTGTATTTCAGCCATTTTCTTTGCAGCAGATGGGAAAAAAATCTCTTTATTGTGTGTGCGTGTGTGTGTGTGTGTATGGGGGGGGGGGGGGGATGATGTGGGGAATGTCTCCATCTGCTGCACACCACTGGAACTGCTGCCTTATGTAACAGACAATAGATGTGAAGCTCTCCTAAGAAACAGATAAAATCCTGAAGACGTGAATTTTAAAAGGCCGTTTTGAATGATTGTTTATTAAACAGGCACCACGTTGTTGTCTAGAGCAGAGAAGCAAACATCCAACAGCCGGTTACTAAAGTAACCTTATTTAGACTTTGAGTCATGTGACTACACACCTTTCTCCTCCTTTTTCCACTTCCTTCAGCACATTAGTTCAGAAACGTTTCATGTCAAAGATGGTGAGAATGAGTTCAGATCAAACTGATTCACACATCAAAGGATGGTGAATAGTTTTAACAATATGAGGATTTTAAAGTGCAAAAGCTACAATAGTTTGTTTCACATTTATGAAATATTAATATAAGAATGAGAATGAATCAAGTCTTCCTTTAGTCTCTTCTTCCAGCTAAAAGCGAGATCATCATCATTTTCCTGATGATATCAAATGAGCTTCTGTTGATTTAGCTTCAGAGCTTCAGGTAAAGACTGGACTGGGTAGTAGCTGTTATTTATTTTCAGCTTCATCTTGAGGGCAGAAAACAAAATGATATTTAGGTGGTTTGTTTTCTGTCGGAGTTTAATAATTATTTTTAAAACCAAACTCATTTTCACTTTGGGTGATCTGGAGATGGTGTTGTTAAATATTCATCCTGCTTCATAAATGTTTACTGCTTTTCTAAATGATCATTAAAGGTGTGGTTCACTTATTTAATCAATACATTTGCAGTGGTTGAGAGTAGGAATGAATGCCTTGTAAGTCGTACTCTGGGGTAAAAAAGCTCGGGAACTGGAAAATTGCCTCATCAGTAGAGCTTCAGACGGCAGCATTTCAAGACTCATTTCCTGATTTTTGGACATACTGCCTCTGATTGGCTAACAGCAACGTGACTCTACCACTAAGCAAAAAGGGGATTTTGCCTCCTTTTTCTGCTGCCGAAACTCCGCGCACAAACTGCAAAGAATCTGCATTTGGAAAACTGTGAATTTTTTGTCAACATTATAAAAAATCAGGTTGCAAACTCCTGGTCTGGTGTAAAAGGTCCAAAACCACATATTCATAACATATTGCATTTTTATTACCATCACAGAAATGTGATTAAAAGGGCTGGGTAGTGCACAGAAATGATAATACTCAACAAATGGGGAATGTGTGCCTGCTGTGGGTTTAATGTGGCACATTTCACCACTAGATAGGATCAACATGATGGAGTCATACCAGTTAGGGAAAACCAATGCACCATTTAAGACAGGGCTATTCTGTGTTGGGCCTGGAGTACCAACATCCTGCAGGTTTTAGCCGTTTCCTACCTCAACACACCCGATTCTTCACCCATTATTTAAACTGGGAGTGCAGGGAAACATGAAAAACATGCAGGAGGTGATCCACGAGGACCAGGAGTGAATATCCCTGATTTAAGAGATCAGGACTCTACAGAAAACACCTCTGGTTTGATTTTGATTGATGGTGAAAAATCGGGTATGGAGACCGGGCATTCCCTCGTTGCATTTGTGAAACAATACCCCCACCAGGACACAGCCACCAGCAGCACAGGTTCAAATAGACAAGTACAGGGTTTGTTTGTGGGTACAAAATGCAAGTCCGGTCTGATAACCGTACAGGCAGCAGTATGAAACACTAATACAACACACTAGTTTATTTACAGGAGCAGTTGTCGCTCGCTGTTGTCTGTCACACTCTGTCCTTCAGTCTACTCACAGCCCAGCTCGTGTGCTGATGAGTGTAAACAGACTCTTCTCTGGGAGGAGAGGCGGCCTTTTCACCAACATGAAACATATCGTGTCATTTCAGCATTGTTTTAACGCCCGCTCTCTAACCCAAGAGTAAGACATGTGCTGCCGTAAAAGCAAAAAAAAATAAAATTTGGAGCAAATCAACTTCCTTTTCAGTTAGTAGTAGTTCACAGCTGAACGAGGCACATCTTCAGAGGTTAGGAGCCGTCAGAAAGAATCAAAAGGAAATGTTGTGATTTAGTGTGTTATGTAATAAAGCAGCGTCGGTATTGCTGGCGGTGTGGCACTCTTCTCCAAAGGAGCGTCTCAAGTGAACCCACGTTGGGACGGATTAGAATTAGCATGTTGCATCGTACGGATACCAAAAACAGTCCGACAGGTATAAAGTTTACATCTGCGGCGTGTAAAAGTGAGCAAGACAACGACGAGTCCTTAAATCACAGCCTGCACAGAGACGACTTAAAGCAAAACAAAAACACATCAAGCCTCTTCAGGCTGCTGATGAACCCCAACCATTTAAATGACCGTATAAAAAACAGTAGTGTACAGTGTGCAAACTTTCAAAGGCCTTTTGACTCTTGGTTGCATCGGCAGTGGCTGAACAGCAGGTCACACATGCACAGGGACACTCTTCCAAGGATTTCAAACCAAATGGCGTCTGGACTCGTCTCAGGTTGCGTGACGTGTCTTAACAGTCTTTAACTTGTGGCTCAAGTCCTCATGGAGTTGCTCCTTCAGATCTCTTCTGTGGCTGCACACCACAGACCACCTCTCCACTGATCCACACTCATCCTCCCACGGGTTTTTCTCGTGCCTCACCCGGTTTCTCAGGTAAGCTACGCAGGTCTTCAAGGAGATAGATAAACAAGGCTCTAGGATCCTTCTTTCCCTTCCGAACTCTCCAGAGGTGCAGGAGGCTCCTCTGCTGCTGGCGACTGAGCTGCTCCTGGACCATCTGTGCACAGAGCAAAACATTTTTAAGTGACATTCACATACTTCTTAATGCAAAAGCTGGAATCACTTTTCAAAAAGCATCAATGTGATTTTTTTTTGCAAAATGCAAACCATTTATTGGCTTTTAGACAATCACTCTGCTAAATGTGTCCATAAATCTTCCGTTCCGGTCATTTTATTTTTGTTGTGGGGATCCAAGAGCTGACCAAAAGGGGGGGGGGGGGTCTCCTGCTTTGCCTCACACCCTGAATCACACATATGTTGTCCTTTAATTTAAATGAAAATAAATTATGTGAATTTCGACCATGTCTGTCACTTTGAGATTTGTCATATTTTACGCTATATTAAAGTGACACTGGTTGAGCTCTAGGACCAAGCAGAAAACATCTGTTTGTGTTGAAGCCCGTTTCCCATTAGAGCATACTGTAAAGATCCCCCCCCCCCCCCCCACACACACACACACACACTTCTGAAGTGAAAATTACGTCCATGCAGTCACGAAATGGAAATGTTCAAGTGCGCTCCTGATGCACCTTACTGCATTGCTAAAGATGGGGATTGGGTTCTATTTTTTTCCGGGGAGCCGCTTTTATGATACAATTTCTGAAGTTAACATAGAGCTAGACAGGAAATCACACACGGTTTCAGTGCAAAACATCTGATATTTCTTTAAATAAAAGACTAGATCATGTCAGTACAAGTTTAATGTCTTTCCCAGCATTCCAAGCATCTTTAGAGAAGGGCAATGGTGTGTCTTTTCCTGGCTTTAATATTGTCCGTGGAGAGGAACAACATTATATACATGACATCAAACACGATTTCCTTCTTGGATGCCATCAGCAAACTGCAAACTCTCAAAGGGTTTTGTAATCTCACGAGTCTGGTGAGGACAGCAGAGATGCCACGCCGCAGCGAAGACTCTCCTGATGTGGATTTACGCACAGCAAAGCACTCGAGGAAACGTTCACCGATGCCTCCGGTGTGAAGGTGGGGTTAGGCTCCCTCTTCGCACCGGAGTCCACGACACTGACAATTTTCAAAGATGGTTGGGGATCTCAGATGCTTCAGCGCTGTTTTAACTGGGAGCAGCAGATGCTTCCACACATTTGTGCAGCAATGAAAGCAGCAGACAGAACGATGTTAACAGTGGTTTATTAAAGTAGCTGAACAAACATCTGAGAAGATGCTGCAGCTCCTGCTCTCACCACTCTGTAAACATTCAGTCACAAACAACAACAACGCTAAAATGTTTCTCATCATTTTCTAAACAATTCTGCCAGTTCATTTTATTTTTCTGAGCAGTTTAAACCTCACAGTAAAAAGAGGTTTGCATTTAGCCGAAAATCCCATCAATTTTTCTTTTTTAAATTAGTATATTATTAGTAGTATTATTAACAGATTATTGTCGCAATAAAAATATGTTTAATTAAGACGTCACTACAAAACCTACTGGTGAACAGATATAAATCTAAACCACATGAGGACATCGTTCTGCAAGGTAAAAACATGCCAGCCTGTTTGGCAGGCGTACAAAAGTTTTTGTGAACACAGTTAATAATAATAATATAAATCATAATAACAATAATGTTAGTTATTTTTAAAGACAATACCCTTATCAAGAGGTCTTTCCCATTTTTGCCCAGGATATACGGGGTATATATATATATATACTTCATTTTTGTTTTGTTTTCTTCTCTTTTGAATTGAAATACTATTTAAAAGCATTTTTAAGAGATTAAAAAAGCTTGAGTTAACAACAATAATGTTCATGTTTATTGCTTGATTTTTGCCTTGTTGTTTTTTTATTTTTAAAAGATGGCTTTGGGGCAATTTTTTTTAAGATTAAAATGTGATTAATCAAGATGAATTAATCACACAGCCTTTAATTAATCAGATACGCTTAATCGAGTATCACACCTTTACTCATTTGAAAACTGTGTAGGGTTTGAATTGAAAGAGCACCCAACACTGTTCTTGTTTCGTCACACAGATCTTTGTTACATCAGACAGTTCTGCTGATATTTCCACTTCGGTACTTGACTCTGCAAATTCATTTCAACTTGCCTCGTTTTCATTAATTACACTAAGAAATAAGAAAAAAGAAAACTTACTGCACCTTACCTTCAACAGATAGCTCAGCCAGTTTAAGTGGCAGGTCTGCAGGATTTACTCCTGCTGGAGAACCGAGGATGTCGGGCAGAGCGTTTCTCCTCCCAGAGCGCCCTGAGGAGGCAAAGTCCAACACTGGCTCCACTTCTGTCATCACAGGAACACTTAAGGACAGAGTATCGGAAGATTAGTTCCCAACATTTTAAATGATCTACTAAAGCAGTCACGTCTACAGTTGATATTAACAACTCAAACCTTCCTAATTGATATTAACAACTCAAACCTTCCTAATTTCACTATATTTCATGCAAATAATATTATTTAAACCTTTATACATTTGCTGATTTCTCATTATTTTATTTTTATGCAGAAATACTAAGACACCCCCTGGTGGACTTGACCCCAGGAGTAAAATAACTGTAACATGTAAATAATCAGCATATATGAAGCTGACAGATTTTTAATGGCTTTAAAGTAACATTTGCATGAACTGCAGGACGGCTGCAATCAACTCTGGTTCTGCAGGACAAAAAAACTCTTTCTCCAAACAGAGGTCACTCAGGGTGGGTGAGGCAGTAATTCTTCGTAACTTATAAACATGCCTTAAACTGGCTGAAAATAAATCCTTTAAAGACCAAGTTCACAAGTTTTTTCAACACATTTCTGAGACACGGTGGTCTCTAGTATAAATAAATGCCTTGTTAGTCAATCTCTGTAGGGAATAAAAACCTCTGACGCTCTTGTTTCAGAAGGTAAAAGAGCCAGAGGAATGGCAGCAGCAGACAAAAGGTGCCTTATTTCCTGATATTCTGACATCTCCCCTCTGATTGGCTAACAGCAGCACAATTCTGACACTTATTGTTTGCTTTGCAACGTTGATTTAAAAAGAAATCTCCACTAGGCCTGCGACGATAAAACATTTTGCTGGACGACATATTGTCCATTGACATTATTGACGATAAATGATATTATTGTCGACATTATCGAAACCAAAATAACCACTTATGTAATGTTAATATATCATAATATTGCAAGTACACCCTTTAAAATGCAACGATAAAAACTTTATGTAACATTGGAATGTCTGGTACCAGAACTTCTAAATCAGGGGTGTCAAACATGCGGCCCGTGGGCCGCATCCGGCCCGCAAGCGGGTTGTGTAAACTTTATTTTCCTACTTTACAGTGTAGAGTGAAAATAAACTTATCTTTGTGAGCAAGTTTCCTCTGTAATGAGTGTAAATAAAAAAAAGCTGCGCTCAAGGCTCACACAAGAACTTGAATCACATCCTGAAGATGGCCGCCACTCAGGATGTGACTTCTGATGTTGATGTGCTGCTGAAAGCTAAAAGATGTAAAGTAAAATGAGTCAAATATACTTTAAGTGCTGCATGAAACTGATCTTGCCATGTGATCTGTAAGCTCTGAATCACTAAGGAATGTTTTTTTTTTATTTGTAGATTATTTATTTTTTACTTTTCTAATTTTCAAGTACACTTCAGGTGTTGTACTTGTACTACACTGTCAGGCTCCAGCCTTGTCTTATATTGATTGTATTAAAACAAAGAAAACAATCCGAAGTTTTTTTTTTTTTTTATTTACCGGTCCGGCCCACTTGGTACTAGATTTCCCTCAATGTGGCCCCTGAGCTAAAATGAGTTTGACACCCCTGTTCTAAATCAATAAATAAAACAACCAGATAAACAAAATAAAAATGGACTTTTACTCTCTGTTAGAAAATGTTGCACCAAAATCAATAAAATAGACTGTCTCTCCAAAACAATAAATGCAATGACCTATCCAGGTCAGCAGCCGAAACTGCACTTCAATAATGATAATAAATAGTAATAGAGTTGTACATTTATTAATCTTGATATATTGAGGCTGGAAAAACTATTGAGTTAATTTTAATCTCGTATGATTAATTGATTTATTGATTATCATCCCAGCCCTAATCTTCACACAAGCCTGAAGGAGTTCTGCTGTGTTGTGGAGTTGCTAATGCTAACAGTTAGCTTCTACTAGCTTCTTTCTAATCCAAGAGTGTCACTGTCTATTTTCTATCAGCAGCTACTGCAAGATATGGTGTTATAAGCCTCCATGCTATACTCAAAGTGAGCAATTTGCTTTGTTAGACAAATAACTGCTGTCCTTGGATGAGTAGGTCATGTCACATTAATGGGAAAGCTGCTTAATATTTAAGGTGTGCATTTCAGCCCGACTTTCACTTTAAGTTTTGTTTTTGCTTTAATTAGCAGAGGTGTGACCAAGTCTCTGCTTTGCAAGTCACAAGTAAGTCACAAGCCTTTCCAGTCAAGTCTCGAGTCAAGTCCATGTCAAAGACAACCAAGTCCAAGTCGAGTCCAAAGTCAATGATGTGGAAGTCCAAGTCCTTAACAAGTGCTGCTGCATTTAACAGTACAAAACCACCCCAGAACAAAGAATGCTTTATGATTTTTGTCCATGTCGTGCCACTTTTGTGCTAAAATATCAAATATGCTCAAGTCATCATCGAGTCAAAAGATGCAAGTCGATTAAAGTTGCAAGTCATTGTCATTCAAGTCTGAGTCAAGTCATAAGTCTTCATAGATTTTATCAAGTCAAGTCAGAAGTCATTAAAATAATGACTCGAGTCTGACTCGAGTCCAAGTCATGTGACTCAAGTCCACACCTCTGTTAATTAGTATGTTTTTCTTCCGTAATCCTGTTTAGAGAACCCCCACTGGCCAGCAACACTGAACATTTTATATAATCTGGAAACATATAATTTCACTGATGGCAGCATTTTTATTAACATTCATTTTGAAATGATTAGTAATGGAGTTATTTGTGGCTCAACAGTGAAATTTATCTGGATTGCTTGGATACTAAAACAAACCTGAATCTAAAGATTCAAGCACCGATCTATGACTGACGAGGAGGAGGAGGAGGATGTCTGTCTGGTCTCATGGCAACCAGCAGCTGGGGAGCAAGCTCCGGGCTGCTCTGGTGACAGGCAGAATTACATTCCTTGTCTATAATGTGTTCACACGAGAACAGCACACACACTTACAAGAGCCTTCTGTTGCCATGGAAACTGCACTAGAAAAAAACCACCGCTGGCAGGTAAACACACAACTCAGATTTGTTCTATCTCTGTCACACTTTTTTCTTTCTCCCTTTTCAGTTGCACTGGCTCACTGGAAACAACGACAGCGTTTTTCTAGATTCCATTTCTCATTTTTACACATCTGAACCTGTGCATCCTACAGGTTTTATTTCTAGAATAATAAAGACAGGCTTACCATTGTTCAGCCTTGAGCAAGGCTGTACTAAAACTATATGAACTTCTTATTCCTTGTTAGCCACAACCCATAAACAGAGCTCAATCGCGAGGCAAAATCTACTGTTTTCTGTCAAACAGTCTCCGCATGCTATTGGACAACGAACAACGAACACTCACTGCTACAGATGTCAGTCGACGGGGCAGTGCACCATACATCATTGAACAAGACGCAAATATATCCTTTATCTAAATAAAGGACTCAAAGAAAAGCTCAAGTCTAAATTGTCCAAAGTTGATGACAAAGCTGTTTCAAACGAGCCATTACCATCTTGTTTTTTTTTTTTTTTTGCTCAATCGCAGTAACATCCCACCTACCAAGCTGATAGAGAGCTGTGATTGGCCCACCTAACTGATAGAGAGCTGTGATTGGCCCACCAAACCGATAGAGAGCTGTGATTGGCAAGAGACTGTTCAGGCCTGCCGAGGTTTCAATGGACCGACATGCAGAGCAGATTCATCTTGCTTCTCCTACTAGAATTAGTAGGTCTGTCTAGAATTCCAGAGTAGGAAAACAGGGCTTGTAGTTATCTGTCTGTTTAAAGGAGACATAAACTGTATTTTGGAACATCATGCTGAATAATAAAGCCTAGTTTATGCTTCTGTGTCTGCATCAATGCAGAGACATGCTACGCCATTATTCCCTTCAACAGGGTTGCAAGTACAGACAGAATCGAGCCCACATTTCTAAACATCAATCAGTCTCCCCTCCCACAAACTAGATACAACCCGTGACCGTCCACCTGATGTTACAGCTCATGCAAGGCCTGCACAGTAGCCCCCACATCCCAAGAGGCCTGCCACAGCCCCAACCCCATCGGACCGATTACAGTTTGGATGCAACCCTGAAGCATGGGGACGCCCCACTTTAGCTTCAAGTCTATTTTTATGTGCTACATTTCCAGAACGCGTCAAGCTCCACAGTTCAGATCGAGCCAGAAAGGAAGTCAAACACAAAAGCAATGTAAAGCACTTGGAAACATTCTAAATAAAAGTCTGGTGTACTTTCCCAGTTCTTTGAGTAGTAACATCATTCCCGTCATACATCATACACGCTGTCGACTTTCTCTATGCTTGTATCGCACGAACTGCTGAAATCAGGAGGGATCTTACAATTCTTTGCTCATTCCGTGACTTAGCAGGACCGTCTGCTTGGAACGCTTTTGCTGCCGCTTCTCGTCCGTAACTCTCCCGGTGTGAAGCAAGCTTGCAGCAAGAACGCGTCTCTTATGTAACACGGTGCGTACGCATGCAGTAAACAGCTGGGGTAGTTAAACCATCAACTTTTACAACATACATCACTACAGTAGCCTATCTTTGCTGTTTATATCTGAGCTGCCATTGTCATTCCCCTTTAATGAATAAATAAATAATGACAAAGAAATTTTAACTACAAATAAAAATCAACTCTGAGATAAAGATAAAAAATAAACAATGATTATTTAATGTTGCTGTATTTGCTTATCAGATTGTTTGAATACATTTTTAAGTATCACGGGCATTTAAAGGCATTTTGGAAGCTTTGGGGCAAATGCTATTAGTCATTTGTTGCTAACAGTCACAGATCAATGAGATACTAACTTAAAGTTTAAAACTAACAGCGTTTTCTGCACAACTTTTATAGAATAGAAAAAAATTAGACCCTGCACTGTTTTGTTTAGAAGATTACGAACAATGAGCTGCAGTCTGATACTGAGACCAAACAAAATCTTAATGCCTACTGGCCATGAATTCTGTTTAAAATGACCAACTCAGCATCACGACAGTGGCACTTAAAATTAATCTATACTTCATAATCAATTCATCTAATTAAACAGCATTTATGCACTGACTTAAACTGGCATCTATATTGGCAAACACTGGCTCGGCTAATGGTTGATTCAAGTAGGTCCGAGTTACAACAGGAAATGCCTCACCACCTCTTCACATAAACATGCTAAGTGTTTGCCCTCACCGCTTTATGATGGCCGCTCTTCTGAAGTGCACTTCAGTCTCTGGCTGTAAATATGTTTTTGGCGCTTCAGTGGAGGAGTGTGTTAGGCATCCAGGGAATCCGGTACACTACTATCAGTCTCTTCATCAAGGCCCTTTGTCCTGCAACAGAGGCAACAATTCAACTAAACGTAAACATATTCCTCCTTCCTGCTTCAATGTCTGACTTCCTCACCAAACTGAGCCACTGGTGGCCAATGAAAAGACTTAATTTGTCGGTTAATCAGGATAAATAAAAGTAGACTTAGGCTGCTGTGGTGACGTATTGGAACGTCAACGCTTGATTGAATGTGTACTTGATCCCAGGAACTGGCTTCAATCCCAGATGTGAGGGCTTCTCTTTACAATTCAGCTTCAGGTTTGAAAACATTCATGCTGAAGGTGGAAGTGACAGGTCACGTGTTTAATGAGCATTAAATTGTTCCAAATTTAGAAAAACTATAGAAACACAGCTACATCTCATGGTGGCCTTCATCCTGAAACATTAACCATCCCTGTTGACCCTGCCTCCTCCTGGTCAGGACATCTTGTAGCGTTCATAGAGATAAAGGAATTAAGATTGAACAGGCAGTGACCCGTCATGTCAACAGGTTTATTTTAGCATCTAATCCAACAACAGGTAAGAGAGGATTATCTGGTGAAGTCATTTGACATCGGTGGCAGCTTAGGTACAAGAAGCAACTGCAGCTGAGTTATATAATTTAAAGGTAGAAATGTGCTTTATGAGTGATTTTATTGTAGTTTTTTTTTACAGACAATTCATGGGTGGAATATTTCAGTTTATATAATCAGGTGCTAGACCAAAAAACATCCTGCAAAAACATGCCCTAACATCTCCAGGCTACTTAACTGATCACTGGTCTGAGAATGGGAGTTACAAACTGCATCTTCAGCAGGATTTTTAAATAGCAGCCAATAACAGGTATAAAGCATGAGTGTTTCAAACACTATTAAATCAATTCATCAGTGACAGAAGCTTTAAACAAGTGACTTATGAGTGAAAACGCAAGGAAGGAAGGCAAGAGATCATGTAATTTCACAGTTGATCACTTTTTGTCCCTGTAAAGATGAAGATTTTGTCTTGAACAAATTTTGTCTGCTTGAGACCAATTTTCAATTCTTTCTTCTGGCCCAGACAAAGAGCTGGTGGGATAACATTGTTTTTTTGACACTTGATCCAAAGAGAACATTTCTAACAAAAATAAATGGTGCTAAGTGCTAAACCAACTTTAAGAGCCCCTTAAAGAATAATTTATCCAACGATGTGTTAGAAATCAAGTTCACGCATAATTTTAATACATTTGCAGTGGTCTCTAGTAGGAATGAATGCCTTGTAAATTGTTCTCTGGGGAGAAATCATCCAGAGGAATCTTATTTCCTGATATTCTAACATCTCACCTCTGATTGGCTAAAAGCAAAATGACTCTACCACTGACTCAGTTTACTTTGCAACATTGATGTTTTATCTCCACAAAGAGCTAAAGCCTGAAGGAGTTCTGCCATATTGTGTTGCTGCTAATGCTGTGTTGCTGTCAGGATTCTCTGCTGTCTCCTGGACACTAAATCAACAACAGCCTTCTCCGCTGGGTGCCAAAATGGGCGAGTCCATAAATGCTGACAGCGTAACGTAGATCTGGCAGAGTTTTCTGAACTGAGCATTTTTCCATCCATTTCCTGTTAGAAGCTAATGCAGGAAATAGGTGTGGAAAACAATATTCATGTTCAGCCTGCATGTTAAACACAGTTACTGATCATTTTCTATATAAATAAGTTAAAAAAAAGGTCTTTCAGTGAACCTGCTCTTCAATAAAAGAATAAAAAGTGTATTTCCTCTAAAACTGAGAAAGCCCATTAAAAGTTGACTCGATCAGCAGACCCCTACATGGGCTGAATGGAGTACTCATAACCATTTGGTGATTATGCAGCTGTCACTCATTTCTAAGACTCAGTCCTATTTTTCCAGATGCCAGTTATTTGTTTTTTGACTTAAGTTAATGTTTATTTGAAGATGCATCAGCTGGGATGTTCGGAGAGTATGGTACAGCCTGGTTAATGAATAATGACTGAACCTTACTTGCGGTTAAACTGAGTATGCTCCTACTACACCACACCACATACATTGACCACAAATATTTTCAAGGATGAGTCTGCTATGTCAGTAGAAACTATATGGTGAAGTTATGTGAGTGAAATTGGTTGTAGCGATAAATATAGATTTAGATCTATATTTCAAATGTGGCATAGATTTAGCTAGTTTATAATCTTATATTAATCGGGGCACCACCAGTTTCCGGAACTGGACCGTTGGATTTAATATCTATATCTTCGCAATGTAATCAGTCTCAGAGTTAACACCACAAATTAATCTAAAGGATGAATTCTTGACAGAATGCGCCGATTATTCCCGAGAACTGCTAGACAATGATCAGGCGTTATTTAAGTTTTGTGAATTTATTACCACAACAGTTAATACATTGACAAAAGGACCAAACACAGCTTAGAGTTTCATGCATGGAATTAAGAAAATTGTTAACCCAAAGATTTATGGCAGTGATAGGAAATAACTGATCCATAATAAAAGTGGAAATTCGGTGACACCAGGATTATAGTAACTATTAGGAATAATTTCTGAAAGGAGAACCAAGGGTGTGTGTGTGTGTGTGTGTGTGTGTGTGTGTGTGTGTGTGTGTGTGGTTCGTGTGGCAGAAGAAGAAAGGGGTCTTGAGATGATTGGCTGCACCTGGCAGTAAGGCGTTTCCTGTTTCCTGTTTTCAGTGTTGCACTCCGTGTAGCTGTTTGGTGTTTGGGGCTCGCTAAAACTGATTTAATTTCTCTGTACTAGGATATCTCTGAGTTATTGTAGCACAAAAGCACGCTAAAACGCACATTTTCTGTTGTTCCACCTAGCTTTTAGGAAACCATTTGAGTTTGCACGCAGTTTATTTGGTGTTGAACAGTTTGCTCGTCCAGTTAGCTTAGCCTCAGCACGGCTATGGCAATTTCTGTCTCTGCTTCTCCGTCTCCTATCTCTTGATCTCTGTGTCAGATGTTTAGTTACTCCTCTGCCTCCTTTAGTGATAATTTTACGTGTAATAAATGTAGCATTTTTGTAGCTTTGGAGGCAAGGGTGTCGGAATTGGAGTCCCGGCTCCGCGCTGTTGAAAAACCCGTAAACAGCCGTAGCTACTTAGCTAGCGTGGGGCTAACTAGCTCAGAACCACCCCATAGCGATCCTCCAGCAGAACCCGAGCAGCCGGGACCTCAGGCCGGCTGGGTGACGGTACGCGGGAAGCATAGAACCCAGTCCGTGGGCCACCACCAACCCGTCCATGTTTCTAATAGATTTTCCCCGCTCAGTGACGCACCCACTGACAAGCCGGCTCTGATCATTGGCAGCTCCATAGTCAGAAACGTGGCATTAGAGACTCCAGCAACCATAGTTAAATGCTTACCTGGGGCCAGAGCGGGCGACATTAAATCTTATCTGAAACTGCTGGCTAAGGATAAGCGTAAATACAGTAAGATTGTTATTCACGCTGGCGGTAATGACACCTGGTTACGCCAATCAGAGGTCACTAAAATTAATGTTGCTTCAGTGTGTAAGTTTGCCAAAACAATGTCGGACTCCGTAATTTTCTCTGGCCCCCTACCTGATCGGACCAGTGACGACATGTTTAGCCGCATGCTGTCCTTCAACCGCTGGTTGTCTAGGTGGTGTCCTGAAAACAACGTGGGCTACATTGATAATTGGAAAACTTTTTGGGGAAAACCTGGTCTGATGCGGAGAGACGGCATCCATCCCTCTTTGGATGGAGCAGCTCTTCTTTCTAGGAACATGGCCAGTTTTATTAGTCCTCCATGACAACCCAGGGTCCAGACCAGGAAGCAGAGTCGTAGTTTAACCCACCCCTCTGCAGCTTCTGTACTGTTACCCACCCACTACCCCATAGAGACAGTGTCCTGCCCACGGCCAAAATCACACAGATTAAATATCAGGCTTAATAAAGCAAATCATGGAAATCTCATAAATATTAGGACAAATTCAACTGAGCAGAAAACTAGAAAAATTAAATGTGGGTTGTTGAACATTAGATCCATTTTTTCTAAGACTTTGTTAGTTAATGACTTGATCTGTGATATCAGATTTCTTTGCTCTCTCTCACAGAATCCTGGCTGCAGCAAGAGGACTATGTTAGCTTAAACGAGTCGACTCCTTCAAATTATTTAAATCATCATATTGCTCGAAGTACAGGGCGAGGAGGAGGAGTAGCAACCATCTTTCATTCGGACTTATTAATCGGTCCCTTACAGATTAATAGTTACAGTTCGTTTGAACATCTTATTCTTAGTTTTCCTAATCCAGATTGCAAAACTGTAAAACCACTCTTGTTTGTAGTTTTATATCGTCCACCAGGCCCTTACTCTGAGTTTGTGGATCAGATCTCAGATTTTTTATCTGATTTGGTGCTAAATACTGATACGGTCATTATAGTGGGGGATTTTAATATTCATGTGGACATTGAAAATGATAGCCTCAATGTAGCCTTTAGTAATATCTTAGACTCAATTGGTTTTACTCAAAGAATACATAGCTCCACCCACTCCTGCCATCATACATTGGACCTTGTGCTGACTTATGGCATAGAGTGTGAGGAAATAACGATCTTTCCACGTAATCCAGTCCTCTCGGACCACTTTCTGATAACCTTTAAGTTTTTTATAACTGAGTTCTCGAGACATGAAAGTAAATTTCACTATAGTCGGTCTCTATCTGACAACGCAGTTGCATCTTTTAAATCAACTGTTCCATCTTTACTGTCCTCAGCATCTCAGAGGAACGTAGCAGAGGGCAATATTTTCAGTTCTAGCCCCTCACAAATTGATGCCTTAGTTCATCATGTTAATTCCTCTTTATGTGTGGCATTAGATGATGTTGCCCCTTTAAAAAAGAAGGTAATTAGGGACAGGAAGTTGGCTCCCTGGTTTAATTCTCATTTACGAGCCTTCAGTGTTGGGCAAGTTACTTCAAAACTGTAATGCATTATTTATTACTTGTTACCCTCATTTTAAAGTAATTCATTACATTACAATATTACTGATTT